GAAAATGAGCTCTGACTCCACTTGTAACTTTGTGTGGCTCAATAATTTAGATTTGAAAATTTTAATTCATGGTGATTCAACGGTTATAAAATAATCAGATCCTTTAAGGACCGGCAGGGGGCGCCACTGTCAAAACAGTGTCACATCCATAGACTGTATATAAAGAGGTCACGTCACACACCGACACTTCGCCGCTGAGTCAAAACCACCTCAAGTGCAAGTCCGACAGCTGAGCTGCAGTGAAGCTGTCGTGCAGCTCATGCTGTATCTCGGTCAATGTCTTTGTGAAGAACCGGTCGGTTGAGTTGAAGCAAGATACAGTTCTTCACACAAAGGCCCCGATGACGAGCGTTTGCAGACGTCTGATGAGGCGATGCTAAGTCTGATAGTGGAGCTCCGAGCCGTGTTTTAAATAATGTCGAGACATTTCATCATCTATGTTTGTGCTGACTGAGCTGAAAACATTAACGGCTCGACTTTCACCCACTGTGCAAAAATTAAACCTGGTTACGTGTGCTGCCATCTTGCACTGGTGACACCATCAGGAGTCAGAGTCTGAGCCGCAGCGATCGCGGAGCGAAGCCACGATATCGACATCGTGCCAATACCGAGTCATATAAAGATGGTAACTGATCAGCAACATGAACACGAGCATACATCAGAGTGATAAGAAATACCTACAATGACAGAAACCCGGAAAAATGCATTGAACATGTACTGGTTTTTTAAATATGTTTTATAATGCAGCGAGCCACCAGGGGGCGATCAAGATTTTGGGCTTCACTTTTGGAAGCCATCACGTCATCCATCTCGTGGAGTTGAAGGAAACCACAGGGAATGTGATAAATGTCTCCATTGTTTCTCTGCTTGTAATCAGTTTGTATTTAACCCAACTGACAGAGTTCTGCGTAGCCTGAGATGAAAAGCTGTAAAACGTTAAGAAGTTCCTCTGACTCATGATTAATGTTTGCAAACTTTGCAGCCACAACCCCCCCGAAAACCACTGCAAACAAAGGACATTGATTTGAAGTCATTTAAAAAAAGTATGAGAAGTAGCATAAGTTAAAAATTAACATGTTTTAAGTCCTAGACAAAATATTTTGATAAATTTAGACTTTTCAAGGCCTCAAATTAAACTCTTGAACTATTAGACTTTGTAAATGACACATTTTGAAACTCTTTCCTTCACCAAGGAGGTTATGTTTTCTTTTTTTTAAACTTTATGGAAAGATGTGGTATTATTCAGGGAAAAAGTCTTTAAATGTTGGTGCAGATCCAGAAACTTTTCTTCACTTCCTTTATCATTGTGGGATTGGACGTTGGACATCAGTGTGTGTAATCTGATGCCGATTGATTGAAGTTGGGCCTTGGGGAAGGTACGAGCTCTATTAAGTGATATTCTACTTTCTATTTCTGCTGAATTTTCCTATTTGTATTTATCCTTTTTCTTTATGCCACATCATTTGAAATAAACACTAAGACGTCTGAATCACTGGACAAACACAACTAGAACTACTGGTTGATCATTATCTCTGAGAAGCATGACAGGAATTATTTCCTCATACCAGGGAGGTTCCTGGTCTATTTAAAAAAAAACAGATTCTCCTGTGAGGTAAACACTCAGTCAGACAGGTGGATAGAGAGGACAGGTGTCTGTCTGTGTGAGTCTCTGCATCTGTGTGTATTTATCAATATTGCGTGGAGAAAATATGTTGCTCTTTCTGTTGCTGTTTCTTGTCTGCGGCTCAGAGGCAATTTTCTTCGGGACGATGACCTATGACCCAAAGACAAGCAACAACGGAAACGTCACGGTATGAATCTTTCAAAAATGTCCAAATATTTCCAAATATTTATCTTTTAAATACACAAAAAAATACAGATTTCATTCTGGCAAGAGTTAATTTAAAGTCTTAAACTCAGTCTGCGCTGTTTGCCTCGAAAGTGAAACCAACGTCCTGAGCAGCTGCCTTCTGGACACGGATGTTGAAATTTTATCTCTGTAATTTTGCAGGTGGTCATTCGCTTCAAGCTGAACTTTCAGTCTTGCAATGAATCGACCACATGGCAATGCCTCGATGGGAGCTGTGAGACAGGAGCTGTTGTGTTGAACACGGTCTACAGCGAAAGCAGTGGAGAGTGGTGTCAGACGGAGGGAATCCTGACCCACGAGGATCCCGGCTTCCGTTTGAACCTTTGGTGAGCGCACGATATCCTACAAAAATGATATGATATCAAACCTCATGTATGTTTTATGTTGATTGTGAAATTGTGCATAAAAACATTGTTAATCTGCCAAAATTAACTCAAAATGACTTGAAAGAGATTGTATGTTTGGCTCAAGTGGAATATATCATTAAGAAAAAAGCAGGAGATAATGTACATGAAGCATAAACGTCCACTTTATGGAGCAATGATGAGAATTAGTTTTAATATATGAAACAAAGAGGAAGTCTGTGATTCCAATGTCTGTACGACAGCTCTCACTCTTTTAATTACACCCTAATTATATTGTTGTAGCGGCTGGAGAATTATCTCCGGCCATTTACTAGTAGTTCATGGAACCGGCAACACCCAAACAATCCTACGATTCCACAGCTGAGTGAGCTCAGAGTTATTGAACATTTGAGATGGCATGACGATGTATGTGACAGCTTGCTTGATAAATGCCAGTGGGGAAACTCCAGCTTCCCCCCACAGTCCAAAGACTTGTGTGGTGAATTGGTTTATCCTTCCTCTATTGTATTATATAGATTTTCTATTTATTTAACTGCTCTGCAAAATTAAAAAAAATCCAAAAATGTGTTAATTAAAATTTTTAACAGCTCTTGAAACACCTCGTCAGTCGCCTCTGCACCATCATGATGCCATAAGATCATATTTGTATAATACTAACATGTTGTCTGGCGCGCACCCTTACAACGCGGGCTGAAGGTAAAGCGGAGGCCGATATTTCCTTCACACGGTGGTAGCGGTCGACCAATCACAACAGAGTGGACCAGCTGGCCAATCAGAGCAGACTGGGCTTTTTTGGGAGTGGGGGCCTTAAAGAGACACAAGCTAAAACTAAGCGTCTGAGACAGAGGCTGAAAAGAGGAATCAGAAATATTCATATATATGTCAGGTTATAACACAAATTAAAATGATAAACCTGAATATGAGCATGATGTCTCTTTAAAGCTCCTCCATTGTGTCCAAAATAACAAAAAAATAATGTACCTCCACAAATGTCACAGTAACACCTACAACGCATGAGAACTTTGAGTAGCACAGTAGTGACCAACTTCCCTGTAAACGTCCACCACAGGTTGGAAGGTGGTAACTGGACAAACAACAATATGAATGGCATTGTATTTTGGAGAGCCAAAACTGTGGTTGACTTGAGGAGCCGATCGGACACAGGCCAAGTCAACAGATCACCCCAAACCACCATCCTGCCGGTGCTGAGGTAAGACGACTAACCTGTCACCTGCGGATCCCAAAACCCTCAATGCCAAACACTTCCACTGAGGGTTTGGGTCATATAGTCTTTAGTTCTGCTCTAAGATGCTTTTTTTAAAACTATTTTTAGTCCTGACATACTCAGTAGTGTTGCTTAGTCAAGAGTTTGAGCTAAATGTCAACTTACACATTACTGAGACATCATGAAACAGATGCTAAGATGTTGGTTTGGCTCTTTGTTCTCGTTCTCCCAGAGTCCCTTCAAACTGTCAGAGACAAATCAACCTGTTGGCGTTTGACCCTGATGGAGATGAGGTCAAATGTAGATATGGAGGCGCAGAAGAGTTGGAGTGTAACCCCTGTACACCACCGTCTGTTCTCAACATCTCCCCCGTGAGTAACCAAGTGCTTGCCATGATTTCCGGAATGAGAGTGATGACAGTACGGGTTGTCTGGAGCTAATCACCATGTAAAACCATGAATGATGGCTCCAGGAACACTAATAGGAAGGTTATCAACTATGTTTACGAGCAATGAAACTAACAATGTCAAACAATACACAACTCCTTGTCCTCCTTTCTTTATCCTTTTGCAGACTTGCGATCTGTCATTCAGCTCCACCAATAGCGGCAATGAAGGTCTGTACGCAGTCCAGCTGGTGATGGAGGACTTTGCGAGGCAGACTATCAACCTGACTAGTGTCAACGGGACTCAGACGTTAAATACCAGCTCCCCTGTCAGTGCGATACCCGTCCAGTTTGTCTTGAAAGGTACATTTTTATGTGTCAGACTGTTTTGCATCTCTTTGAGTTTAACCGATCTTTGGTGAGTAGAGGCCATCGGTTTTCGTGCATAATTAGCTTCTTACCTCAGATGTTTGTCTTTTTTTGCCCCAGTGGATCCCGCGGTGCCATCCTGCACAAACGGATTCTATTTGCCCACGTTCCTGCCTCCAACACCGGCCAACAGAGCTCGGCTTGACACCATGGTCAATCAGACCCTTACCATCAACATTAGAGCGGCTGCGAATTTCTCTGTGTGAGTGAAAAAAAGAAAAAAATAATGGAAAGAAATTGAGTCTCTGATTGAGCTAACGGCCAATTACAGCTTAACATGTCATTCTAACGGGAACCTCTGTAACACAATGGAAAATGTAAAACGTTAACTCCAAGTTAATTTTCTTCCTCCGCTTGTTAAAGGATCTCTGAGCTGCTGTTCAGCGGGCCGCACAACGTGATCCAGACCAGCTCAGGACCAGGTCAGTTCACCCTGAGCTGGACGCCGTCTCAGAGCGAAAACGGAGAGAGCCACCCCATCTGCTTCGTCGCCCGAGCAGTTTTAAAGTCAGTACTTTTGTCCTAGAACACAGAACAAGTGTGAACTTACTTAAAGGTTCAGTGTGTAGGACTTAGTGACATCTAGAAGTGAAGTTTCATGTTGCAGCTGAACACTCCTCATTTCACCCTCCCCTTCCCAACATGAAGGAGAACCTGTGGTGAACTTCAGCTGTCATGAAAACTAAAAAGGTTTTAGTTTGTCCAGTTTGGACGACAGCAAAAAACATGGCAGCCTTCACAGAGAGGACCCCCCCTCCAAGTAAATATAAAGTTTTTAAAAATAAAGGCCCATTCTATGGTAAACAAAACAACGATTCATACAAACTAGATGAAACACATTAGGGGAAACAACACTAGGATTATTTTATAATTAATTTCTGCCAAAAATCCCTTTCACCTAAATCTTACACACTGAACCTTTAGATAAAATGATTCTGCAAGTTCTCTAAAGGACTGAAAAAAGAATGGAAAAGTGTAAAAATTTGGTTTAATTTTGTTTGATTCTTTTCCTCAGTTCAACGAAGTATGACTCTGAGATGCGATGTGTCATTGTGATTGTCGGAATTGGTGAGATACACCCTCCTGTGTCTGTTCATGCTTCAAATTCCACTGCTGATTTTAAACGCAGACAAAGGTTGAGCACGGCTTGTATTTTATGTTTCCAACAGATCCATCATTTACCACAACTACACCCGCAGTGACTTCAACCACTCAACCACCAAGTATAGTGGATCCTTTACCGTTGCCCGAACCTAGGACCATCAATACCACTACAGTTATATTGGGACCTTCACCAGTACTTGCAAATGTTACCATCAATGCCACTACGACCCCTACAAGTACAGTGGGACCTTCAGCAGGGCCTGAACCTAGTACCATCAATACCACTACGACCCCTACAA